ATGGAAGGATGGATGGATGGATGGATTAAAATATGTGGGGACAATCTTGGGGGAGACTCTACCATCCCATAGAGCAGGGGTAGGCAACTCCAGGCCTCGAGTGCCGGTGTCCTGCAGGCTTTAGATCTGTCCTTGATCCACCAGATGATTCAAATTGCTAAATTACCTCCTCAACATGTCTTGAAGTTCTCCGGAGGCCTGGTAACGAACTAATCATTTGATTCAGGTGTGTTGACCCAGGGTGAGATCTAAAGCCTGCAGGACACCGGCACTCGAGGCCTGGTGTTGCCTACCCCTGCCATAGAGGTTGGGGGTTGATAGATAGTTTATAAATGGAGACATATTTTAAGAACTTCATACAAAAAAAAATCCATACTTGTCCTTTACCTAACTATCCTGTCATATCTCCCCAATACTTGGCACTACTCACTGATGATCTGGCCTGCAGATAAACATCCAGCTACATACGTCAAACATTTCTTGATTGCATCTGGTCACGGGTTGTTAATAATAAATCACTCGGAGCAGGAATCTCTGAATATATTTAAATTACCATACTAATATACTCTATTCATTGGTGAAAGGGCACTTTTAGGTTTCCAAATGGCGTCATGAAGTGCCTTCAGAGTTCAGTAGTACTCTTTTAGTCTTACAATAAGAATCATGGAACGAAATACAGATCAAGAGTTTGAATCATATATCATTATTTTGAAAATGACCAAAAACAGACGCTGTATTTATTCACATCTTTTCACATGACATTCAATAAGCATGATGTGCAAAAAACAGGCATCATCCCAGATCTGCACTTATTTGAGAAAATATTTTTGCAGCAGCATGTTCCTTAAACACCAAGCAGGGGGTATCGTTTTGGGGTCATAGAGAAGTTAATGAATGAGAACATCTGTTACGCTTTGTGGCAATTGTCATTAAGAGACTGTGGGTGGTGGAGGCGGTGATATTTTGTACGGCTGGAAGGACATACCATATGCTGTGGCCTTCCAGTGATACGGCATGAGAAATTGCTCAGGCACTTTGTAACACCGTGGCAGAGATTTGAAGATATGGATGTGTTTTTGCAGAGAGTTTTAAAATTCAAATCTTTTCTGGCACTGAAAGAAATGGGTGCATTACTCCCATGTGACTGCCTGCCACTGTAGCTTTCCATTGAGTATGTCAGTCGAGGGTCACAACATCACACAGTCTGCAATCAATCAGTTTTCGGAGCTGTGATTGATGCTTTTAAAGACAGCATTTTTCACTGCCTGGCTTCAAGCAGTATATCCCTCTTTTTCAGTGTCGTATGCACAGCACTCCGTGGCATCAGAGTTCTCCAGTTGTCATAGGTACCTCTATGAAGACTGTATCTACAATATGAGCCATAGAATCCATTTGTCCCTCATTTTGTCGCTCACTTCAGCAAATAATATACATAAATATGTAATAATGTAACAACTAAATGCATCTTTGAGAACACGTGTGCTATGTTAGAAACAAGAAGAAGGACATAACATAGCTGTAAACTAATTGCAAGCATGTTTTTCCTCTTTAATAATGAAAACCTATGCTGCACTCTGTCACATTGAATAGTGGATAAAGATTGTGACCCTAAATGTGCAGCAGATTTCTGTGTCGATGCATGTATCTTATATTTTTCAAGCAGTTCACTGATGGAGATAAATTGCAGCAAGCTCAAGTATGACCATGATACCATGGGCAAATTAATGAAGATGCCTGTTTGACCTTGTTCACTCCACGATGAGAAGTCATTACAAAAAACGTCCTCATTTGTGCTTCTACCAAGGCTGTTTGCATGTGGCTTTTCAACATTTAACTTCATAGTTTAATGAATATTTTTGCTCTGAAGTGGAATTAATTTCTGTTCAATATTGTAGCCTTTGATTGACACAGTTTCCTTTTTCATTTTTCATACTACATACAAAATATACCTTTCTCTAGTAGAATCTGAGTTTTATAGCCAGTGAGGGAGGATTCCTGTATTTCCAAAAAAGACATCAGATTATATAGACATCTATTATGAGCAAGGGAATAAGGGATAATAGCCAGCTCTACATAAGTCAAAACCAAGTTGTAATAACCAGCAAACCAGTATTTTTTGTATCAATTAAATTAATGCCTGTAGTCTGATTGGCCTCTACATTAGGAGGTGTGTAGCTGTTGATCTGAACTCTTTCTTTCTGCTGTGTAGGTGTGGCAGTGTGGTGGGAGCATGGAAGTCCTCCCGTGCGCCAGAGTGGCCCATATCGAGCGCACCAAAAAACCCTACAACAATGACATCGATTACTACGCCAAGCGCAATGCCCTGCGAGCCGCTGAGGTGTGGATGGACGAATACAAATCCCACGTCTACATGGCCTGGAACATTCCCATGAATGTAAGTTTTTCTCTGTCTTAAATTACACCCTTATTCAAATCCACGAGCTCTCTTTTGCCCCGCCTCCTCCTGTCACACTTTCTCATTCAGACATGCAACCAGGGCCTCTGGAGACGCTAGTCAATAGAAATTCAAAATTCAGATTTCATCCGGTTTGACCTTCACACTGGCAGCAGAGCACAGGCAGAAAGCCGTAGATGCTCTTTCCAAACAGATGAGAGAGGTACATCAAGTGAAGGAGATTAGCCTCATTTCCAATCAGTCTAGTTTCATACGTATCAGTTTCCTTTAATTGCTTTCAAGAGTCTACGGAGATGACCTGCAAAATAATAAACAGCTATTTCCATTAATAAAGAGTTTAATATTGAATCCTAATTGCCTCTTCAGCCATGCAGAATGAGATGATAGTCAGTGAAGGACATCAGTGAAGGCCTCGAGAAAGCCGTCCAGCACAGCTCACTGATGTCCCTAACAAAATAATTACAGGATGTGGGCTCGTCACACACTGGTGCGGCACGCTGCTGATGCCTGCATGCCGCCTGGAAATGTTGAGTGGAAATGTGGGAGCTGGGGGTGGCAGCACCTTTGACAAAGTAGTCAATCAGACCACATCCCTTCTTGAGTGTAATTACAAGCACAGTGGCATGGCATGTTATTACCTCGGCTGTCCTGTGGCGCAGAGTTATTTTGTGTACAGTAGAAAGGCATAACTACGATTATTCCATCTACCCCCCTCCCTCTCCTCCCAGCCTCCCACAATCACTGATTTTCGTTATTGTCTAAGGTACCTGCTGAGAGCACAATTACCTTGGTGGGGGAAGGCTTTATGATTCACCAGAGCGGCCAGCTCCAAGTCCAAACACCAAACAACATCTCACTGAAATTGAATGCATTTTTTAGTGTCGCTTTATGGTTGCTACAAAAAGTGGATATTTCCATCTAGAATTTATTATTAACAGATGTTGGAAGCACGTTCAGCAGCTGACTGTGGATTCCAACACAGATGGGGGCGATCTGACTGAAGAGTAGATGGCTGCATGTGTGTGTGCATGCGTCTGAATCAAGCCGCAGTGCCAGGTAGTGCAGCTATTAGGCATTCCCCCAATCAATCTGGGAAGCCACCTCCGTAATGCCGGCATGGCCGTGAGGGCTCATAATTAAGCAGCTGATTAGAGTTTGCTCAGCACGAATCGTGTGTAATGAAAGAACAATGAAGGTCCTTCATGACAGGTGCATCCATCCATCTCTTAACTAAAAGGTTGGTCTTTTCTTTTCAGCACCTCGGCACTCTCGAATATTCCATTTCTCAAGCAGCTTTCACTCTAATAATTAAAATGCCTGCTGGCTAAGAGGCTTTTTTCATGCGTGTTTGTCTTTGTTTTGTACCATTTGTTGACAGAACCCTGGGGTTGATTTCGGGGATGTCTCGGAGCGCTTGGCCTTAAGGAAAAGGCTGCAATGTCGGAGTTTCCGCTGGTACCTTGAACACGTCTACCCGGAGATGCGAATCTATAACAACACCATCACATATGGCGAGGTGAGGAAGACGTTAAGCAAATGATTGGAAGTAAACACTGATTTTGGCGTATCATCAGGGGACAAACACCTTCCAAAGAATTCAACTTTTGTCTCGTCGGTCCAGATACGATTTTCCCAGATGTCTTGGGGATCATCGTGATGTATTTTGGCAAATGTGAGACCTTGTTTTATTTTTTTCCTTTGGTCTCCTTTGGTCTGCCAGTAATCAAGCCTGAGTATGTTTAGTGAAACTAAACAATAACTGGGTTTAATCACAGATAATTCGTGATTAAACAAGAGGGGCACTTACTTTTTCACACAGGACCAGGTAGGTTTGGACAACTTTTCTCCCTTAATCAGTGAAATCAACATTTAAAAACAGAATTGTGCATTTTTTACTTTGATGATCTGAAACATGTAAGTGTGCCAAATATTCACAACACTTGGAAATCAGGAAGGGGGCACTTACTTTTTCACACCACTGGAGTTTACAGAGGATGTGAAAGCTGATGCAGGAAGGCTGATCCTACGAATAAACTCAAAAGAAATAAAGGAGTGAATTATTAGGATGTTTTGTGACATGTGATGATGACCTTTAATGTGATGGAGTGGTACGTCTTAGAAAAAAACAAACGATTTGAGTGTAGCTAGTCTAAGGTGAGTGTATGTGGTGCAACATCACCACACAGGGTTTGTACCAGCTCCTCATAATGAGTTTTAATCAAATACTTTATTAGTTTTCCATTTTAATTTGATTGGGCTTGGCTATGCACTCAGCACAGTGGGGGGAAGACAACAGGATTATAACAGGTTGAAGAATTGAACGCGCTCCTGACTCAGACACTATTTGGAGGTTCGCTGAGACGCGTTGTTTACCTCATATCAATTTCAGCAATGGACACCTGGAAAACTAGAAGGGCACTGGGAAAAAGCGCAGATCACTGCCAAAGGCTAATAGATCAAATATCATAATCATTTATTAGTCAACCATAAATAATGCAATATTCATCTTTGTATGGGTTTAAATTACAAAGTAGTAACTGCAAACATCACGTCACAACAATGCTCATTAAAGCAATGTGACGCACCCCCATTCTGGACCTGATGGGATTTTTCGTATGCCCTAGGGGAGGTTTCCAACTGAGGACAATAATGGATTGGATTTATGTAGCGCTTTTCAAGGCACCCAAAGCGCTTTACAATGACACTATTCATTCACTCTCGCACTCACACACTGGTGGAAGCAAGCTACAGTTGCAGACTGACAGAAGCGAGGCTGCCATATCGCGCCATCGGCCCCTCTGGCCAACACCAGTAGGCGGTAGGGTAAAGTGTCTTGCCCAAGGACACAACGACCAGGACAGAGAGCCCCGGGATCGAACCGGCGACCTTCCGGTTACAGATACGCTTCCCAACCCCCTCAGCCACGGTCGCCCCATAACAACTGTTGGGGGCCCCCTTAACAGCCTAGGGTGTTGTCTGGCATGCCTGTTCACAAGCTGCTGGTCTGACTGAATTATTAAAACCCTTTTCCCCTTTTGTTTTACCAAATCTGGTTTTTACTAAATCCCACTCACAGACAGATGGACAGGCAAATAGGTGGGAACAAAAGAACAGCCTAATCAATATGCTGCATATCAGAATTCACAATTCATCACAGCCCTATGAATTTACTTCCCCTTTTGTTCCCTCTGCTGCCTGTTTTGGCTCTGGCACCCAGATGGATTCCTCAGAGTGGCATTAACTTAAGTGGCACTATTTCAGATCTGTCGACAAGCTGGGTAACATTTACCGTGTCTAGCCGCACAGCCGGCAGAGCAGAAGTGAGCCTCATCTGTCACTGAGCATCAGCATCGCGCTCGGCCATGCTGACCAGACCAGCCGAGTGGAACGCTCCCTGACAAAACTACATGATAGACATGTTGCAACCTGGAAACGAAGCCTTACTCATTCAAATCACACCAAACATGGGCCTCATGCTCAATGCATCATCTGCAGGTCTGGAGGACAGGGGGGAGACTGAACTGGGGCTGGTCGTGTCCCGATAATATCTATCAAAGCCTCTGTGAAGACTGCTGTGTGAACAAACCACAGTGGATCTAGTATCACAGAGGTATTGTGACATGCACAGAGGAATTAAATGGTGGCTCACATTCAGGAGACTATTATCTACCTTCTTAGATAATAAATAATAATAGGTTTTGAAAGGCTGCTCTGATACTATTATTTTAGTTTGAACCAAATGTGAAACCGGTAATTTATTAAATTATATAATGTTGGGCCATTTTCATGGGGTAACATTTTGTACAAAATATTCATATTTACCCCGTTTTCTCAGCTCACAGGGATCTCATTAAAATCAATGCTAAAGAAGTCTTTTCCCTGGTTTAGTCACTTTCTTTTAGACTTTTTTTCTTGACACAAAAAACATGTCAAGAGTAAAATTAGCTGTGCAACAATAACCGCCCAACAGACAAATTAAAATGTCCCAGAAAGCTGCCATTACTAATGTCTTGCTGAGCATTTGTACTGTACTATCTGCAGCGCTCGCACCCCTTTGCCTCTCTTCTTCACTGCATAGATTGTGCATAAAGGAGAATTAAATCCCACCTACACTAATCTGTAAATGAAATGGAAAAGAAAGGCAGGAGCCGACCGAAAAGGCTGAGAAGAGAGGCAGTAAGAAAACTGCTCAATAATACTCAGCGAGCTTGTTTTTACCAGCTTCTCCTTTCACAAACACCAGTGGTTCGCAAACTGCGAGGAGCACCCCACTGGTGGGTGGAGGTGGAGTATGGAGTTAAGCTATTAATCTGTTTTTTAGGGGGAAATATCTTCTCAAATATGTTTTTAAATTCCTGATTTAAAAAAATATACCTTGTGGTACTTAACACCTTATGTACTTGATACGTTTGCACTTTTGTCCCCTTCCTGAGCTTGGTTCTTTCTTCCCATTTAAAGGGAGTTTTTCCTTCCCACTGTCGCCAAGCGCTTGCTCATAGGGGTCATCTTATTTTTGGAGATTATTGTGTGAATGCCTCAAAGGGCGTTCACACTATTGAGATCCTGTTTCTCTTTATTCTTTATCCTTCATTATTCTTCAAGTTGCCACTTTCTTTGCCGCTTAACTACTCCCTCAGTTTTCGGCTGATTTTCACCGTTCAAACTCTAAACTGTTCAGCTCTTTCTGCTAATGCCTGCTATGACTTTTGGTGCTCATAACTTTTGTACTTTTTCAGATATTAAGCTTTTTATGTCATTTTTTGGCCCATTTTGCTGAATCGGACCACATTATCAGTGCGATCAACAGTTTTGCTTGCTGGGCTGAGCCATGTTTTAGCTCAGTGAGATAAGCAGCCGTTCTCAGAGTAGGAGGGCCGGGATCGAATCCTGCTTATGGCAACATTTTCTTCAGTTAAAACTTCAACTGTTTAAACCCTTTTACAACACAAATTTCAGCTTTTTCACCT